GAGGGATGCCAAAAACCAAAAGATTTCGCACCGGTTCAAAACCGGTGCGAAAACTTAGATAATTTTGCACCGGTTCTTGTTGTGAACCGGTGCGAAAAATGTCCCAAAAAAATTATTTAAAAAAATTTTAGCACCGGTTCTTGCTGTGAACCGGTGCGAAAAAAGGCCCAAAAAAAAATTAGCACCGGTTCAAAATCGGTGCCAAAATTACCCCAAAAAAATTAATTTTTTTTTTTTTTTGCATTTTTTTCACTTAAATTGATATACAAACACTAACATATATATATATATATATATATATATATATATATATATATATATATATATATATATAAAGCTACATTTTTTCATTAAAAAAGGCTGTAATATTACAATTTTCGTCCAAAAAAAAAATATAAAATAAAATACAAGGTCACACACAAATATGTTTCTAAACTTGGTTCTAATTGGCGATGATCTTTTGTTAGAGGAGTAAGCTTGGCATGATTTTAATCAATAAAAGATGACCTACAAGAGGGAAAATAATCCAATGAGGCAAGTATAGGCAATATGACAACCCCTGGACTGCAGATAACCAATAGGCAACAGGTATGACTACCACTGAACAGCAGAACAAGCAAAACAGAAATGAATTAGAAAGCAGAAATTATATCAATGTAATCAGGATACATAAATAAAAATAAATAAAACGCAAAATGCTGATTATCAAGAAACAACCTGCTCAAAGACTATTGATCATTGAATGGAGCAAACTTCTAAGATGCATTTCTTGGAGCATGCATCTCTCAATTAGAAGATATCCAAAATCCCCCTATGCCTCTATTACTGAATAAGCTACAATATTTTTCCATGTTTTTTCATCACACTATAATATCTAATATTGCAACATGGTGCAGGCTATGAGTAAATGAAAAATTATTAGAGTATGAAACTTAAAGGAAAGAGAGGCAATCAACAGAGGCTTAATTACTTGATGCATGATGTGAGATTCCCCGCATATTGAGAGCTCCACAAAACCCATCTCAAGTAACCTCTTTAACTTGCCACAACAACACTGAATTATAGGAGACTTATCACTGAGCGTCCGAGCCTGAAATCAGCTTTTGACATCTTCTGTCTTGCATAGTCAGCACAAGCATGATTATACTACTCAATGAATGCAACTTAAAACTAAATTAAGAATGTGATATAGAACAAGATAGACAAATAGCCAAATTCATGATTCTTCTTATTATCAGCAACATCAATCCTGGTTTTTTTATCAGCAACAATACACTCTTCACTGGTAGCACTCGCCTGGTTAGCTTGGCATTCAATGACTATTCAAACACAACAACAAAAACTGCAAATTTCATCAAAATAAAGCAAATAATTTATGAATCCATCAGGGGTTTTATTTTCATCCAAAAACTTCTCAAACTATGTTACCTCAACGAACAAACCGGAGCAAATCAAAGTGAGAAGTTGTACGATGAAAGTGAGTCCCTTCATCATATGGATTATCCTAGTGTAACTATTTACGGCCAAGGGACTCAACGCATTGGTTTGTTGATAGGGGTCAGTTAAAAAGGGATAGTCAAGGAGTATATTCCAAGCAACATTAATCAAGGGACATAATCAAGGAACATATTCCAAGCAACATTAAAAAATGGACATAATTAAGGGATATATTCCAAATAACATTAATCAAGGGACATTAAAAAGGGACATAATCCAAGAAACTCAGGCCACACACCAACATCAATAGCAACAACAAAATATCACAATCATACATCCCCTGGCTAGCAACAGATCAAAGTTGTTGGCAACCATTTATCAACAAGCAACACACAATCCTCCATCAACAAACACTTGATAAATTTGAGCTCAGATAATACTTTGTATGGTATATATAATTAAGGTCAGATTATCATGAAAATGCAGAAAAATTATCAAGAGACATCCTTTACCTCATCATCATCAAACTCATCACCATACCCAACCTTCACATCGCCACAATACCCGGGTTATATCCCATACCCAGGTTCGCTCCACTGCACATCAGTAATTTGAAAGCTCTGAAACACAGATTTACATAATTTCAAGAAATACTGATAATTAATTGTTGTCAAAATTCAGTAATTTGCGGTGCCTCAGGGAACAAAGTTCGCCAAATAAGCGCTATGAACACCCCAACCAAATGTTTCTCAAGCCTGTTTTAGGAGAAAGTAGAGGTGAAAACGCGGCTTCTGACCTGAATACACAAGAAGAAGACAAAGAAAATGAATTGAATCTAATAACAAGTCGAAAACAAATTACATTAAATTGAAACTTACTGGATTCGAGATCCCTAATCAATTATTTCAATTCGAACACATAAACCCTAGAATCTGACCACTATTGATAATCACAATTCGCAATTAAGGATAGAAAAGAGAACATAAAATAGGGAAATCAAGAGACGGCGAGTTGAACGGCGGTGGCTGACCAGAGGAAGATGAAAGGTTCAACAAAAACCCTAATTAATAAACTAACCAACCATAGATTTAGATCCAAAATCTTTTTAACATAATAAAATCGCAAACCCTAGACGATGAACAACAACAACAATAACGAGGAACCACAAATCTCATTGAATTTCGAATATCAACACAACAAATCAACTTGATTCACAAACGTTAAAACCCCCAAAATCAAAATCAATTCCGAATCAAGCTTCAAATCCGCGCAACCCAACGTAAAATCAGTTCGTGAAAAACAAAAATCAACAGATCTTGGATGAACAGAGAATACAAAGCAGCAGATTAAAGAGGAAGAGATAGTAAAAATGGTGGGATTCGAGCCCTCAAAATAGGCTCAAAATCGCAGCCTTCATAGAAGATGAAGAAGAATGAAGGAGGAGAGAGAAGCTAAGGTAAGGCGAAAAAAAAAAACAAGTACGAAACAGAAAGAAAGAAGAAGGGAAATAGAAAGAAGGAAAAGGAGATCGATGGAGAGAGAAGGAGTTTGAGCTGAGGCTCCATTATTGTAGATGAGAGAGACCGAGAGAGGTAGATGAGAGAGGAGGAGATGTCGAGGAAAGAGAAAGAAAGAAGATATACTCCCTTCGCCCGCTATTATCTGCAACATTTACTAAAAATGGATGCTCTCTATTATCTGCAACAAATTTTTTTCTTCCTCTTTTGGTAAATTTTTACCATGAAAATGTCAGTTTTACCCTTACTTAAAAATTTTAACTTTTTTTATAATTGATTAATTACACACATTTAACATCTAATTATCTAACCCCCCCTTAATGATTCCCACCAAATTATAACCCTCTCCCCTACTGTCTTATCACCATCCTTCCATTTGCCAACCACCACATTCAATGAACTTCATTGAATTTCCCTTGAAGATGCTGCCCAGAATCATTGAATTCTTCACAAATTCTCCAGATTTCTAGATAAAGCCTTTTCCCATCCCCCTTTTCTCTCTCCTGTCTCACCCCTTCTCTCTCCTCTTCTCTCTTTGGTGTTCTTCGTATTTTCTGTGCGAAACCCTAAATACACAATTCTTAAGATCTCTCTAGCATTATGAGTAACTTCCAAGATCTGAATGAGTCCCCTAAACGAAAGACCCCAGAGAGTCAAACTGAGCCATATTTCACTCGTTACAAGTTGCAGCGAGGTACTGAAATCTTGAAACCAGTTCGTCGGTGCTCTTCCTCCTTTTCCAGATTCAGTCATGGGAAAAGAGGGGCAAAACTGGTTGAGAACACCACTAGTGGTGAAGAAAAGGAGGAGGGTGTGACGCTATTTGCAGAGAAAAAGGAAGTTGTGGTCATTCTTGACTCTCCGGAGGGTTCCAGTACAGATCTACCACTTAAAGGGGTTCAGAAGGAACCAGTGGTGGTTGTTGACATTTCTGAATCTTCGGTGGAGGTGACTATGGTCTTCACTGACCCTCCAACTGCTACGGCCACCTCTGGCTCCAGTAGTGGGGGGAAAAGGTCCAGATCTGTGTTCACCGACGACTCCAGTCAGAGGGACCCTGATTACATGACCTATCTAAGGGAAAAATACTCTCATGACTTCCCCCCCACAAACTGATGTTGCAGCATAACTATTACTAAACCCTAATTTTGTTTTCAGTTTTTTTTTATTTCACTTTGCCTTGTGTAAATGGTTGTTGTTGGTGCATATCATTGTGAAACGCATGTGATGTGTGTGGGTGTGAGTCCCTACATGTGTTTGTTGCTGGATTATGATGCTTGCATGTGTTCTTTTGGAATCTTGGATTTTGCTTAGTTATGTGAAAGACGGTTTCTTGTGTACACTTCTGGTTTTTGATTCTGATGGATGGTTGTTTGTGTACGTTGCTGGTTATTGATTAAGTATGCCTGGTTATTTAATTGTGCATTGATTCTGTTGGATGGTTCGTGTTGGATAGATTCTGGTGGATGTTCTTTGTTGGATTTGGTGGGTGTTTGTGGTGTTAGAATGGCCAAGGGAATGCTTAATTGATGGATGATGGGTTTTGTTGGATGGTTGTTTGTGTATAGTCCCATTTGAATGTTTCCTAGTTGTGCTTGCAAGTCAGTGCCTCTATGTTTGTGTATGAGTCCCCCATAAAGTTTGTTATGTGTGAAAAAATTCCAAATGATGAAGGGACTCACTTTGAGTTGGATGTGTAGGTTTGTTTTGCTCCAACAAGTGCCTTTTAACTCTTGTTGTTGAGGTAACAACCTACACCATGCCACTGAAAAAAAAAGGAAAATCCCTGATGGAATTCATTGTTCAACATTCATACTAAAATTTATTCAATAGACTTCAAAAACTTACATTTTCTCATAGCCTGCACCTAATCATTCATTACATGACTGCCTGAAAAAAGGAAATTTTATCTACCAAAATACACATAACCAAATCATTATAAGCATCAACAAAAAAACCAGTTGCTTACTTAACACAAAAACTAGTTGTGAGTCCATATTTGGTTATGTGTGGAAGTCATGTTCTCATTGAATGATGGTGTTGTACCTAGTCTACATCAACCTCTGTCTCCATGTAGTCTGCATTCTGTTGATTAGTTGGAATAAAAAGAGTGTTGAGGTGTTCAACTGCTTGTTGAATGAGTCCCCTTTCAACTTCCAAAAGCTCTGGCAGAAGACCTAGGCTGTCCAACCTTTTCTTGCCCATGTGAGGTGGATTGAAGTTATTCCCCCCTTCTTTCTCTAGGATCTTTTTCATTACACCTTGCAAAGTGATCCATGAGTACTTGTTCAGTACTGGATCAAACCATTCATAAGCCTCATAGACTTTCTCTATTAACTCATCAATTTTAGTGGGAAATGACTGGTATTGCAAGGATTGAATGACCTTGAACAAACCAAGATCCAGTACATTCAGATCTGGAGATTGTGCTGGCTGGAATACCATTTGGATGTTGAATCCATGTGCTGTGCATGCTGCAATGAAGTCATCATCCCTTGGAATTTGATGTGGCTTAGCATTGTCCCATTGAATGTATATGTCCTTAGACAGACTGGGATGCCATTTCCTGTGTAGTGTTGGAATGATGTTGTTCATGAGCATTTTCCTGATTTCTTCTTTGGTCACATTTTGCACAGCCTTTGTCTCCATGACCCCTGCATCTTTGTTCTTGCTTTTCTTTTTTGCCCTTTGCTGGTAGGTGAATGGAAAAATTCCATACTTACCATCATGTAGCATATTGCCACTTAAGTCATAAAAGGGATTACCAATCATCCCCATGAACATAGCCTTAATCTTGTATCTCTTGGACTGTTGACATTTGTATAGGTTTTCTTCCTTTGGTAAGAGGTAGAACCTCCTTGTTTCTGGGTTCATATAGAACCATTTTTCATCTATATGTATAACCTGTTGCATATCAATGAAAGTTGGATCTCCAACTGCTGGGATAGGGTGAATATGGGCTAATGCCAACTTGAGTCTTGCTACTTTGTGATTTGATGTGAGTGCTGGATGGTTGGCGCTTGTATGTGTTCTTAATCTTCCCTTTTTCTTCAAGCTATGGAGGTATCCATGTGATACTTTCAGATCAGCTGCATAACTCCTCTCTGTTGTCCTTTTGTATAGAGGCACTGATTGCAAGTACTCATTAGTAATAATTCTGGGTTTGGGTCCTGTTTTCCCCAATTTTTTTCTTCTGACATCAATGACATTCCCTTGTGCTATACTTTGTTTTACAAACTGCCAGACCCTCATTGATGTGCTTTTGTGTATCCCCTATTTTCTTGCCATTTGTGACAAACACCCTCTGGGTAGTTCCCCACCATGCATGTGTAGTAGGAAGTCATCAACAATTTGGCGTATGTGCTGCACTGTTAATTGCTGTCTATTTGTTGGATGTGCCTCTGCTTGATGTTCCTTTGCACTGCTATCCCCCTCACTGTCTTAATCCATGTTGTCATCATCTGTGTTTTACTCAAATGGTCCCTCATTTAGCAGTTGGTCTATGTCAAAAAAATCTTGATCATAGTACTCCTCCATGTGTTGTGTGTCCCTTTCTCTTTGCTTGCACAGATTTGAAGGATGGTGATGAAGTTTTTGGCTGCTAGTTTTTTTGGAAGTGGTGTTGAAGCGAAACCCCGATGCTGCCCTTGTTGTAGGACTAATTGTAGTGTAGGCAGTAAATATTATGACTTAACAAGCTTGTAATTTATGGGGTATTTTGTGAACTTTGTTGGAAGCTTTGAATACCATGGTGGGTATGGTTTTTTTTGAACAAATTTGAACAAAGTTGTATGCCTTTTATACTAGGCACTTTATGTTTGAATAGTTTGTCAATTTTTTTTTTGGTCAAATTTTTTGTTTTAGTCAACTATTGGATTTTGGTGGAAAATAAAAAATATTGGCCATGAAATTTGATTTCCACCAAAAATTTGAAATAGGGAACCATTTCAACAAAATATGGTGGGAATCAAAAAATTTGGCAAAAAAAAAAGATGGAACCAGATTTCCCTCCTTTACCTACCGAAATTCAGAATAATGGGGGAGCTTAATGGTCCCCTCCACCACTTTTTACCCAATATCTAAAACACACCAAAAAACAAATATATATAGGTGGGACCTCTTCTTTCCCTCCATTTTCCACCTTAATTAAACCCACCCAAACTTAATTGAAACCCCCTAAAAGTTTTGCCTAGGAGTCCGCAATTTAGTCCTTTGTTGCAGATAACTCCGGGCGGAGGGAGTATGTAAAAAAGACCGGTTTTTTTTCCATATCATTCGCACCGGTTCGAACGACGTGCGATTAACTCGCTTTTCGCACCGGTTTGGTTCGAACTGGTGCGATTAACTCATTTTTCGCACCGGTTTGGTTCAAACCGGTGCGAAAACTCTTTTAAAAACCTGTGTGCATTGTGCGATGCCCATTTGTGTTTTTCGCCTAGTGACTTAACTCAACTTTGGGAGGAAGACGATCAGGAGCATGCATATGAGGCTCCGCCACTCCCTCACCAGACTTGGCATACGGTTGCAGGTATGTATGACTTATTGTTAAGTTTTCCACATGCCGCTTTATTTTGCTAATAATTTCTCATGAATGCAGTTATTATATATAATTAGGTGGCTGGTGCGGAGACTTACTCGTGTGCATGCAGCGAGGGGTCTACGTATTACAGAGACACATTCGACAGACTGAGCGAGTCTCAGGTGATTGTTCATTATAAAAATTAATTTAACACCTCTTTCATTGTTTCAATAAGTTAATTATGATGTTAGTAATGACGACGTGTTAATGCAGATGATGTGGGACATGTACGTCCCTAACTTAGTCGCTTCCATGCCCCCATATCTTTGTGATCATCAGATGGAGTGACGTGCCATGACAGTCCTCATCTGTTTTGAGGTAGTGGAGGCTCACCTCCCCGATAGAGTCATACGCCAATCCGGCCTTCGTCAGGTCGTCCCCGCCACGTGTAACACGAGTGTCCACTTGCACAGGACAGACCGACGAGGAAAGGGGGGACGTGAGCTGGGCAGTTTAGCATGCCCATTTCATTGACATGTGGGATCAGCGGGTGCAGCACGTCGCAGATGGTGCGCCTTTCCAAGGCCGAATAGAGCATCACGATCCATACATGGTATTGTACAGGTGTAATCCTCCGTATTTTTAAATATTTTATAAATGAAATTTATTTTATTTATAATATTTATTTGTATTCTTCCAGAATTTAATTTTAAAAGTTTCAAATTATTAATTTGGGTCAAAAATTATTTTAGGCAAAATTATTTTATGAACCTATATCCTACAATCCATTATCATAAAATAAAGCCTAACCCATTATTTATTTAATTGGCCCATTATTTTCATGAGGCCCAATTCTACCCTACAATTCTCTCCTCTAAATATCCCATCAATCCCCAAATTTTCCCTCACACAAAAAGGTTAGTCTTATTTTCTTCCTCCTTTATTTCTTATTGTTTTCATAAAGCTTATGTAATTGATTTTTGGGCTTTGATTTTTATTGCTTGAAATTTGTTTATTTAGTATCAAAATCATGTTTTTGATGGTTTAAACTAGGGTTGAGCAAAATTGTCCAAAAAATCGAAAACCTGAAAATTCGAACCGTAACCGAACCGAAAATTAGGGTACCCGTTTCGATAACCATAACGGTTCGGGTACCCAATCCGATAATTTGTTATCGGGTATGGTTATGTGAATTGCTAAACATCGCCCGTAAATCTCTACATAAAGCCCACAAATTTTAGGTGACTTTACACTTTTGCCCTTATACCTTAAAAAAATAAAAAAAAACTCGTCTTTTCTCTACTCTCACCTCTCTTTATAAAAAAAAAATTTCAAACTACGACAAAGTTGAGGCGGCAAGGCAAGGAACCGGCGGCGGAAAGACGGTTACGCGGTGGCAAGGTAATTTTTTTTTTAAATTAAAAAAAAATCGTCAAAGAGGGAGGGGCACCTGACTAAGATGCCGGGGCCACGGTGGTGGCGCCTCAGCCAGACGCCAGCCTCACGGCGGCGGCGGCGGCGGCGGCTGGGAAAGATTCCACCTCCTTTTTTTTTATTTTATCTTGTATTTTTTTTTGTTTATGTTTATATTTTTTTTCCAGTTTTCTGTATTTTTTTGTTTATTTTTTTTTTCAATTTTTTAAATTTTTTGTTTATTTTCATATGTAATTTTCAAATTTGTTGTTTTTTTTGTGTTTATATTTCCTTTTCAATTATTTGTTTGTTTTTTTGTTTATTTTTATATTTTTTTCCAATTTTGTTACATTTTATTTGTTGTTTTTTTTATAATTTTTTTTATGTTTATATTTATTTTGTATGTTTTGGTAATATTTTATTTTTATTTTGTTTTTTAGTGTTTTGTTATTTTTTATGTCAACTTGTTAGTATTTTTTTTGTTTATTTGATACTTTTTTTGGTTAGTTATTTTTTTTAATTGTTTTTATGTTTATATTCTTTTTGGTATGTTTTGTTTTTTTTTTCTTTTTGTGTGTATTTTTTTCAGTGTTCTGTTATTTTTTTTATGTCAATTTGTTAGTATTTTTTTTGGTTAGTTATTTTTTTTATGTATATATATATTATAATATTTTTTAATGGAGTTAGGTATTGCATTTTCGACTTGGTGCGGGGAAGAGTATGGAAGTTATTAGAAGTAGAAACTACTCAATGGAGAGTTCGGGGCCCAGACACGTTAGATCCCGTGGTATTTCGGCCTCGGCACACAGAGAACGGGTTCACCATCCTGAAGAGGATGAAGATGATGATGGTGAGGAGGAGGAGGAGGATGCAGATGAGGATGCGGATGTGGATGATCAGAATGGACCATATGATGATTACGGTCCATTCAGTCAAAGGCTTGATGATATGTATGAGGAGCATAGGGTAGATGTGCGTAAGGGAAGAGATGGTAGATTTGTTAGTAGATCTGCCACATCATCTGCGTCCACTATGTCAACGGTAAGCAGAAAACGGTCGAGGGGCGTTAATGATTCTTGGGTGGTGAGGGGTGAGGTTAGGGCTGAGCAAAACTATCTGATAATCCGAAAATCCGGAATTCCGATCCGCATCCGATCCGAAAATTTAGGATAACTGATCAGAAAACATTTTTGGATCGGATATCCGATCCGAAAATTTCGGATATCGAATCGGATATCGGATATCGAAAATTTCGATTTCGGATATCCGAATAAAGTTCGATATCGGATATCGGATCGGATATCCGATCCGAAAAAAAAAACTTTTTTTTTTACCATTTTAAAAAAATCCGGATAACCCATTAACCCTAAGACCTAACTCACCTAAGTCCCTAATCAGTAATCCGCCTCTTTCTCTTTCCTCCTCCCTCCTCCCTCCTCCCTCTCTCATCTCAGATTCTTAGATCTCCCTCCTCCCTCCTCTCTCATCTCAGACCTCCCATCTCAGATCTTCCTCCTCTCTCATAGTCTCATCTCAGATCTCCCTCCTCCTTCCTCTCAGATCTCCCTCTTCGTCTTCTGTTCTGTAGGTTGCTCGCAAAGATTCGGTAGATCGAAGCTGGCCAAACAGCCAACCGTTCGTACTCAGCAGCACACCACCCAACCAACGATTGCTCGACACTTCTCTCTGGTTGATCATCTTGCACTTTTCGAAATAATTTCTGTTCAAGAATTCGATGATTTGAAACAAATAATTGAGTAATTCAACAGCCAATTTCTTCAATGGTGTTGAAATCAAAAGGAAAACAGCTTTCTTTTGAGATCCTTTCTTCCAATTTTCCAGTCTACTCCGATGATACCATTATCGATCGTTCAAACTCCGATCCTTAGAAATGTTGTAGTAGAGGTATTGGAGACCTAATCTTGTTGTAGTAGAAGTATCGGAGATTCAATTTTCGGTTTTTGCATTTTTTTTTATTGAATTGATGTTTGTATCTTCTGATTTTGCTTGTTTTCCGTACAATTTGTGCGAATTGATAATTGTTTTTAGCTTGATTATTGTTGATTAATGGAGATCGGGAGTGATTTTGATTGAAATTGTGGTTATTATTGAATATTTTGTTTGTATGATTGTTTAGACTGAATAAAAAGGGTCGGATATTGGATATCAGAGTTATCCGATTCGAAAATTTCGGATATCCGGATATCGGATATCCGAAATTTTCGGATCGGATACCGGATATCAAATATCTGGATTTTCGGATACGGATATCCGATCCGAAATTGGATTTCGGATACGGATATCCGATCCGAAATTGGAT